GTTTTCTTATATACAGTTCAAACTAAAAACAGATATCTAACCGAACAATTTTTTGCATACAAATATATTCTATCCACCATAAAATGCGTTTAAACGGACTAAGTACCTAAGCCCTCTACTACATTTTATTAAATTACTTTAAATAAATAAATATATTTGAAAAATATAACAATATAGAACCTTACATCTATGTTTAACAAATTCAAATGAAATAGTTCTGAAATTTAGTTTCTGACTACCTTAAGGCAACAGACGATTGCCTTAATATTATGTATTATCATTACACTAGATTGTTTTAATTAACTAATACTTATATATAGGGTATTCAAAGAGATAGATATATAGTAGGGTATCGTTAATGATGCACAAGATATATTAAGATTAGAGTGCCTTAGTTTCTGTTATTTGTTTATTGACTTAAGGAATATGGAATGTTTTATAAACTGGTCCATTATTGGTAATATAGTCATATTATTGATATAATGTCAAAATTTAATGACATATGAAAAAATAAGATTACTTCAAATATTTCACTTGTCGGTATAAGTCTCTTAGATGGCTTCCATATCTATAAAATTGTAGTAGCATAAATTTTTTATTTTCACACGATCTTATAAAGTATATTGAGAACTTTAAGATAAGTTTACTGTTAAATTGAAGTCAATGGATATAGAATGTCAGTTAGTGAAAATCTGACATAGAAGTTGACTATGTCGAATGCACCAGCTTTTATTGATGTTCCATTTTTTATTTTAGAATTGTCCGACTTATTAGAATAAGTGTACTGAAATACAGGATAAACAGAAATTGTAATAGATTATTATTAAAAAAACTATTGCAAAAAAAGAAAAGTATAGAAAGAAAATATTAACTAGTTGGATTTATTTAAGGAAAAAATCAACTCGCTAACTTAAATAGCTGTTGTGAAGGATGTTCACATATATCCCTTATGAAATAGTTTAAATATGATACCACAACAGCTAGTATGAAAGCCTAACGTTAATTATAAACGTTAGTTTTAATAAAATTTCTTCGCTATATACGCTGGATATTTCAGATAAGGAAGGAAATACGTAGAGGAGATGACTGTCTTGCAGTGAGCGCAGAGTAATAATAATATAGGTGAATGGCGTTTTCTTCTTCTTTCTCTGGTCAAAACATACGATAGTAGTTATTCATTGGATGTAAATTAATATAGATATAATAAAATAACACTATTTTTATATATGAGTGCGCAATATTACAGAGATATTGCGATTTGTCTGCAGTTCCAGACTGTCTCTCTCCATAACAAATTTGAAATGTTTTCCATATCAGCAATGTTGATTAACAATAAATTTAACGAAAGTTTATAATTATTGCATGAGTGCACTTAAGCGGAAAATGGATTGAAAATAAACAATTAAAATTACATTTGAAAGGTTAAATAAATGCAATAAATAAAGCTAAAAGTGAAGGAAGAAAGCAAAAATTATGCGCACTTATTGAATAATTTTTTCTTTGCTCTTTTATTTAGTCGTACAATTTTGTATCTTTTCATTTATAAACAATTCCATTCCGTAATGTAGTTTACTTACCTATTTATTTGTACGATTTTTTATTACTGAAATATTTCACCGATGAATAGCCAGTTTGGCAAATATTATTGATAAGATATCAAAATCAAAGTACATACAATTCTGCTGGCGATGAATGTTTAATGTTTAATCAATAAATTATCAGGATTAAGAAATAATAGATACAATTTACTTAATATCCGATGATTCATTGAAAGTATAAGCAAAACGATTTATTGTAATGTATATTCTATAAAAAGTGCTCAGGGAAAGAAATGAAGGAAAGAAATAGAAATGAAACTATTTTTAACTAAAACACTCCCACAATTCTGTTGGTGATAAACATTTCGAATATCGAATGTCACAATATCATAACAAATTTCTAGTAAACACATGGAATTGAAAACTAACACGCATTTTGAGAAGCATTTGCTATGAACGAATTTGCGGGTATGACCAACAACTCTGTAATATCTTTTATTATTTTTCAAAATGGTTTTAAGCTAAATTGCATATGTGCAATCAATTCTAGGTATGAGCGCTTCGAAAGAGGGATCAGATAAAGAGTTTTGTTTTTCGTTTGCGATGTTTAAAAGTAATTGAAAACGTTAGCAATAGTAGTTTATTTGACTATGAACATGCTCTCAACAAAATTAATATAAGATAAGTATAAGTAATAAAAGATAAGTAATTAAAAAGTAACCTTTATCTAAGTTCAACAATCCTATAGTATCTATGGGACGGAGCAACAAATCATTTGATCTAATTTTAGTTTATAAAGGTGAAATTATACAAAATATAGAAAAAGTTAGGGCACACATTGGGGATGAACACGATTTATACGTTTCGAGTTACTATTTAGCTTATGACTATACTCTGACCTTAACTAAATTAGGTAAGTTTCTAAGCGCATATAGAGTGATTAATATATTTTCATTGTTTACCAGTATTACTGAGTTAAAAGCATTTGTTTTTCCACTAGTTAGTAACTTCCGAGTTCGTAGATTAGTGACAACAAGCTTTATTTACGTAAAAGACATAATAAGAACATCGACGATACTTAGTCGCATTCATATAACGGTTGCTTTAAGTTAATGGTAGGGATCCATGTTTCGATTACGAATGAAACGAACGTCCACGGTATTAAAACTGTGTCATACATTAATCATGAAGCAAAGAATTTGATTTTAAATTCATTGTTGAGGAAAATTTCTAGTCTTGAATACAACCATGACTGTCGCCTCAAACAGACAGTGGTTGAATATTGAATAAAAAAAAAAGTTCTTAAAACTAACTTAATACAAATTCATAGTAAATAATAACATTTTAACATATAGTTGTTGTATTGTAAAACAGTAGTACTACTCTATAATGTAGAAATAAGACATTCCGTAAAGTAAATGAGTTGTTATAATATATGTTGCCTTTTTGTTATAATTTCTAAACTATTTTTGTTATGAACTAAATATTATATAACTTCACTTTTACAACAACAAATATTAATTGCATGAAATAAGGAAATTGACACACAAGCAAGCCTCGTCTATTTAACTTTATTGAAGATGATGTTATAATAATTTTCATTTTGTTATTTACCTTAGCTCTAATTTACATTTTAATCTCGCTTGAAGTCAATGGTGTGGCTCTAATAAATCTTGTATGCAAACACTTCACTTGTGTAAATTTTACATTTCACACGTCACCCAATTTTATAAATTTACTATGTTTACATCACTTTATCTATCTGTACATATGTAATCAGTTTTATTTAATCAACAAAATTAATTGTACAATTTTAGATAGCAAAGATCTACATCTGTTATCAAACATATACTAAACTGTAACATATTAAGTGGAGTAAAACAATATGACAAAATGTAATATTATAAAATGATTATAAAGTATGTACGTAGAAGATGACACCTTCGTTAAAATATTTATATTAAAATCTATTTATTTATATTATATAATTAAATATAAAATTTATATATAAAATGAAAATAATTTTAAGTAAGAAGTTCCGATTTAAAAGACTTAATTAACGCTACAAACTAGTCATCATATAAATATTATTTTAGCCTAAAAGTATGCCTTTATATTCAATAAACATATGATAGAGCTCTTAACGTTGATATAAGATCTATATACGAAGAATTTTTTGTATTGGATTACTATAAATAAATTAAAATACAGTAATTCTATAATTAATTTAATAATGGAGGAATAAGTTTCAATTTATTCAGTTCATACTTATTAGTATGTGTATCAAATGAATGTCTGAATGTTAAACTGACGCTATTTTTCTTATCATTTAGGCTAAGAATTAAAATAAAAATAATCTTAAGAGTCTACCATATAACTGAGTTTATACTCAAAGCAATAGAAAATAATAAGGCTTATGTATTTTGATCTAATTTCATCTTAGTGTCTAAATGACAAAGAAGCATGGTTTTCTTGAAGTCTGATTATATTATTTTAAATCATATGAAGAATTTAGAGGCCTTGAAAAGATGCACTAGAAGGGAAACTTAACGCAGGAGAGCAACATTAGTTTAATGATTAAATTTATATTTTTGTAGACAAGCGTTTCATTTGCTTCAAATACAGTCTTATAGAACCGATTTAGATGTTTATATGCTATTTGTTCCACATTTTTTGAATTCTGTTTGAACGTTGATTTCCTATAAAAGTTTCACTTATACGCTTGTCGGTTAATTGTAGAGCTAATTATATACCTTAAAAATATAAGAGAACTTATGAATATGAATTAATTCAAGTAAACATATTTTAAAAAGTCTGTTATCATTTATATTTATAGTAATTTTTTCCTAATAAATCATCCAATCAAGTTAAGTTAAAAGCTTTGTAAAGTTTTTATGGAATCTTGACTGGATATTTTTCAATTTTTGTCCCAATTTTCAACTCTAGCAGTAAATTATTAATTTCATCTATATAAACTACTTTAATGTTATCTTTTTTAATTTTATCGTTAAAATCAAACACGAAGTAGATGAATGGTATGATATTAATGATTTTTTTTGCACTTACCTTTTGTAAGAAAAACAACATTGCTTTTTGTTAATGAAGCAATGGTTATGAAAACCACTTTTAAAATGGTTTAAAAATGAGCCTATATATGTGAAGTGTATTTGAATTGCTGGCTGATTATGTTATCCAGACAGCTTCATCCATATACTTATACTTAGATTATAAATAGCTGGCGTGATGGTTTTAGTGTTTCCTAATTTAATCAAAACAATAATCATTTTTAGTTTTCGAAAAATATCATAATTAATATTCCTCTATAATATTCTTACAATATGTAATATTAATTTTTATTAATATATTACTATTAGAATATAATATATAATATTATATTTAACTAATGCGAGAGAAGTAACTATTGGCCTCTAGCCCAAAACCAAACGAGAATCATTTTTTGTTTAAATTACTATACTGTACTATATTATACTATGTTATAATTATATATTAATACTGACGTTCTTTTATTCGTAGCAAAATACCATTAGAAGATTGCAATGAAACTCCAAATTGTAAACGTGGATCAAAAGGATTATCAATTATGTCCTTTTCATCAGTTAAATCGTGTATACCAGTCGATAAGCCTTCTGCACTTGGTAATAGTTCATATGATCGCAATACTTTTGATAGTATTATCTTTAGCATTATAGTCGACAATTTCTGACCTGTCGAAATTAATTTTGATTATCTTTGGTATTTGTTTTAAACTATATATTTTAATGCCTACCAAGACAATTTCTGGAACCAGCACTAAATGGAATATAAGTAAAATTTTTAATGTTTTTACGTTTATCAGCATCAAATCGGTCAGGTTTAAATATCATAGGATCTTCGAAATAATCTTTATTTTGTCCCAAAGCTACAAAAGCAAGTACAAGATTTGTGCCCTTTGGAACAAATTTACCATCTATAAATAAATATAATAATGAAAGGTTAAATACAGAAGAAACTGTTTATTCAATATGTTTTTACCAAGTATTGTATCTTCTATTAATGTACGTTCTACAAAAGGAATGGTGGGAAAAACGCGCAATGTTTCTTTTATTACAAGATCTAGATATTTCATGTCATTTAAATTCTGGAAAGTTGGTTGTTGCTCCTTGTCTGTACCGAATATTCTGATTTGTTCATCAACAGCTGCTTGCTGAATATGCGGATGTCTCGAAAGGCAAAACAAAGTAAAACTCATGGATTGTGCTGTCGTATCGTTACCCTTTTTGATAATAAGAAAAATGTTAATAAAAATACATAATTTTTGATATCTCCAGAAACTCACCGCTAGTAAAAATGTATTTATTTCATCAATCATGTTCTGTTGTGAAAAAACTTCTTCATCTTTATTTGCTATAACCATGAAATCAAGTAGGGATTTGTATTTATACTTCTGTTTATCTTTGTCATCATTTAAGTTAGCTTTTATATCATTATTATTTGATCCAAGTAATTCTTTGCGACGATTTTCAATAAGCTAGCGGAAATGATTTCCGGATATTTTTTTAATTTTTTTTATTAGTATAAATTTATTAAATTCAAAATTACTAATTTGTATCTTATTTAGTCAAACAAATATAAAGTACAGATAGATGGAGAGATGGATAGATTCCAAGTACTACTAAATAATAAATATATACAAAGACTATCTCTATAATTAGTATGTTGTAACCTAACAAACTTGTTTAATTTTTCCAAAATCCTTAACTACTAGTGTCACATATTTCAGCTCATCATTCTTCAATCAGAACTACAATCAATTTAGTCCCGCTTTCACTTAAAGTTTCTTATTGGATTCTATATATTGAATTTTGCCTCTTAACATTTTTATACAACGTCTTTTAAGATTTGGTTATAGAGTTATCTGCCACTAAATATATATCCTCAAATTTCTAATATAATTAATATGACTCACCTTTTAATAAATCTTCAATAATCTGCTTAAAGGTACATACTTGAATACTTTGTTATTTGGTTTTGGGATATGTATTGATTTATATACCATAATAACCGTATATGAATTAAAGATGTTGATGTTGTAAGCTATGATATACTATAAAAATTCAATCACAAACAAAGGCACTTGGGGAACTAAATTTAAAACGCTACTTATAAAAAGAGTAAATCGCAGTTATTAAGAGGATTTGATGATATCATTATAGATGATATTGAGATGTGGAAATGTTGTCATCATAGATGATATCATCTACTGAATAAATAAAATATTTTTTTTGGCATTAAATAAATACACTTCATGAGCAATGTAGTGATATTATGATAACGAATTGGGACGGGATTAATAAATTTGAATCTTAAATACAGTCTGTCATTAATTTTGTTTACATATAGATTAACTTACATTTTTAATGAAAACTTTTATCTCTTTAATGTAAAGTTGTTGTTTTTTGTAGTCAGCTGTATATTCATAACACATAGGTATATTATAAAGCAAGAAAAATCGGCGCCGTTGAAAAAGCTCTCCCAAACTGTAAAGAAATTAATTTTTTTTTTATATTTGAATATTATACTCGTATTAACTATACTGACGTGTGTATTTTGTCACATATAGAAGAAGTATTACTATCTAATGCATTTAGTTTAATTCCCATTGCGGTCTCTGTATTTATTATAAAAACAAATTAAATTAATGAGGAAATGTTGAAGCATATTATATTGTTATACCGCTTAGCATATCAATGGTGACACGTTGTCCTAAATTTTGCATATCGAATACTTCAAATGTTTGGGAATATTTCTTCAAATGCGTTATGAAACGATCTCCTACGTTATTGATAATAGGCAAATACTGTTTGATAATATCGAAATGGAAAAATGGTGTTAACATTTTTCGACGCTGATGCCAGTAACTGCCATTGGCCACAACGATTCCATTTCCTAGCCATGGTCGAAGTAACTTGTACGTACCTTCTTTACTACTGATCTCAACATTAGTCAATATATGCTATAACGTATAGTTTGTAAATTAGAATAAGTAAAAATAAATATATATATATATATATTTACACTTACTTCCATGCTCTCTGGTTTTAGAATTAAAAGATATGGACTCAAGCCACCATAAAATCGAAAATCATTGTATTTGTATTGTCGACAATATCCAAGCATTGTTTTGAAATTTTCTTTAAAATAATTAAATGAAATTAATTGGTTGTGTTAAACTGTTAAATCTTTTTAAAAATATCTATTAATTTTATTAAGTTTAAAACACATGACGTTGATTGTAATTATGGATATTGTATGTACATATATTCTTAATCAGTCACGTTAATCTATTACATCTATTCACCTGTTGAACTTAAACTAGTCCTAGGCATTGAATCAATCAAATGAAATTTGATTTATAGAATTTTTGAAAGTGATTTGATAAAATCAGTGGAATATGCATCAGTGGAACTGCTATATAAGCTCATTAGAAAGTTGTGTCTAAAGCTTGTAAAAATATTTAAATTTTAAATTGGCTGAAAAATTTATGATAATTTCACTCAATACTGTTCCAATTTTATTATTATTGTCAAAAAACTGATGGATCAGTAACAGGTCCTTTCTGGAAAAAATTTTTTTTTTTTTTAATACAGTTGCTTCAATTTTCAAGCAAAAAGACATATCAAAATATAATGCCCAAGAACTTCATTGGAGTTTCACATCGATATTTTAAGAGTTAAAGAAGATATCAATTGAATGATTTTATATTTATTGATTCCGTTTATAAATTTAGTATTTATCTTAAACTTTCCAAGGTTGAAAAGAAAAATGCCATTGAAAATTTTATAATAAAATCGTTATTTCAAAAAAAGAATTCTTCACCATACGGAAAACTACCTAAATTGTAAATTATCATGCCTAAAATATGTTATATTGATCAATTCATTTTGAAATCTCACAGTAGTATTTGACAGAATGCATATTAAACTTTTCTGCCTGTATTTATAGGATCTATACATCATTATTATATTTATTTTATTATTAGATATATTCTAATTTTTCCTATCTTATCACAGTGACTTCTTAATTGCAATGCAGTTTAAGTAAATGAAATTAGTTTAGGAACTACGAGTATATATCACTATTATTTTCATTTTATTATTTGATAAACTTTTTATTAGTATTATAATAAATGTTATTTTGTCAGGACTCTAAATGAAATTATTTTCATTTAGGGTCTTGATGATATTCACTAATTTTTATGATTTTTTCCATCTTATCACGGTGACTTCTTAAATGCGATGCAGTTTAAGTAAATGAAAAAAGTCGAAGTCTAAGTAATTTAGTTTTGATTTTTTTTATAGAACATTACACTTTGATAAACTATGTCTCGCTCCTTTAGGAGTGAGATATGGTTATGTAGTTATTCTGATTCTCTTTCAAGAAAACACGATATTTACTGTGTGTGTATAAAAAAGATTATACTCTTATTTATAGTAAATTTATTTTAAAAGTTTAAAAGGAATATCGAAACTCAAATTAATGTCACAGATCACTTATTTTAATATTTGTTAGTTTATTTTTCTTTTTTATTTTAGCTTCTCACTTAATATCGTCATATCGTTTATATTAACTTATGTACAAAAATTTATTATAATAATTATAATTGTTTTATTAAAGCTTTGTAGATATATTACTGATATAAAAAACTTTATATTTTGAGTGTGGTTTTAAAAACGATCATATTTTTTGAAATCAAACAAAATCTCATATTCCATTGTACTAATTTTATCACTTTAAATCGATATATCACCATTTATTTTTAATTTTATTAATATATTTTATATATTTTACTTTTATATATTTTATTTTTTTTTTTGTTATTTACTTTTTGATTAAGGATTCATTAAAGGATGTTAGTTTTTTAACATTACGTTATTTATAAAAAATATTAATCTCGACTTACTCTCCATGCTTAAAGTCATTTGAAGAAAGTTTCCAAGTGGCAGAATTGCGAGTGGTCCTGGAAACTTATTCAAATGTTTCCAAAACGTATGATAATATTTGTGTATCCAATAGAGAAGTGCAACACAGCAAGAAAATAAAAAAATTCCTAACATTTTTAAAAGTGTTTCGTCGAAGCGTTCTTCGTTTTACTTGATAGACAGTTTATATAGATGTGAATAAAAAAGTTATCATCGCCTTATATATAGGCAACTACAGAACTACTTCTTAATTTAAACAAGCATGACTTTAAAATCTAATGGAGCATTTAAATGTGTTGTTAACATGTCAATTGTACAACAAGTGAACGAACTCAGACTCTCGCTAAAAATATGTGGTAGTTGCAATTATATTTAAATAAATTAGAATGTTTATTAAGATTATTAATAGAGATTTTCTATAATTTTCCAATACCAACTACAAATTGACAAAGCATTGTTTAGCAATATTGCACAATGTCAGTGTTACCAGTGCTCCCAGGTTCTAAGCAACTTTTAAGCAAACATGACAAAATACAAAACTATAATACAAAACTGATATATATTTCTATTTAGATACTTTTTTATTTCAATAGTATTTCTTTATGAACATGAAGACATATTACAGAGTAGCAAATTTAGCAAATCATAGAATAACTCATAGAAAATATTACATTTTCTGCTGTTATTAAAATAACTGCTGAAATAAATTTTTAACTTATGATGATTAACATTGTACATATGTATATGTCGATATATTGTATATATATGTCAATAACAACGTGTATATAAAAAAATAAATAGTTTTTAAGTAAAACTATTAACCAAAGAAAATGAAATTCATTAAATTAATTCAGTTAATTAAATTAACTGAATCTTTAACGAAATTGCAATTGGAATTGCATTGGAAATGTTTAAAGTTAATAAAATAAAAAGGATTACATATTATTAGTTTATTTACTTATGATGACTTATTTTATTATATCATTATTTATTGAATTAATTTTGGAGGCACCAGAGCTTTCTTTTGTGTTCCTGTAACACATAAATGCTATTTTGTTACTAAACACAAGGAGATAATTACATTTAACTTCCGTAATTAATAAATAAGAATATTAATTTAAAGATATATTTTAATTTTCTTTCATTCTCGTTAGGAATACTGGAATGCATTCCTCGCCAGGAATGGAATGGAGTTGCACATGAATGCTCAATTATTTCGTCTTCCTTAAAGATTCTGCGTTTTGGAAATGTCCAATTTTTCCAAATAGATATATATCGTCCACCATGAAATTTGCTACTCCGATTCTAGCTTTATTCAACATATTCCTTGTTGACTATAGTATGGTCATATTAAATTAGAATTTTTGGAGCGCAACATGGTCTTCAATTTATATATATATATATATTAAATCCTTTAACTCCTAGGAGGAGCATAGGGCTGCAACAAATATCTTCCCCTGAGTACGATTGGTGGCCAGTAGCTTAAACTGTCCCCAGCTTTTTCGCATGGTCTTCAATTTGTGTTTTGGTAAAATTAAAAAATAATTTTCAAAACGTTTGTTCGGCTATCAGATTATTATATGACTTCTTCACACGTAATTTTAACTCCTTGTATTGCTATGTGCTCATGATCTCAAGCCAATCAAATTAAGTTCTGAATGTTCATTGAACTCAGTTGAACTCTAGCAGTTTTCCAGGGTGCTATGGGTTTACTTCTAAAATTAAGCCCCCATTAACTTTTCCATTTAACATCTGTTGTCTGTTTAGAATTTTCTACTAACTACATTAATCAAAAAAACGTTTAATTTTAATCTCACAACGTAAGCTTTTTAAGTTTAAATTTTATTGCTCAGCAATTTTAGTGAGACTATTTGGTAGCCTAAATAATCTTTAAATTGTAATTAAGTAAGACCGATTATAATCAACAAAATGTATTACATTCAATTATTTCTTCTAGAGTAACTAAACTATATAAAGATACACTGATTTTATCTGTTTGAAACCAAGAAACAATTTTAAATTTATAAAATAAAAAATAATACAACAGCAAACAATTTTATGACAGTGATTAAAAAGGTCAGTTATTTGTTTTTAAAATTCTGAATTTATTTTTTACATCAAATGGTTATATTTTATATTGTAATTATTTATTTAATTATTATTTAATTATTTATTTAAATAAAATGAAAAACAACATAAGGTGAACACTTTCAAATTTAAAACTTTAGGAATAGAAATCAGTTTATTAGCAATTCTAGTCACAGTTCTAGTCATAACTATACCGTAACTCAGTGAACAACTCGATATTTTACAGTATAATTGTTTAAATAAATATAATTTAATTATAATTAAAATAGTAACAAAATCGCTTAATAGACTTAAGCAGTAATGCTCGATATAACATTTTTTAAAGAAATAATTAATAACAATAATCTTTTATATAGACACACATAGAGAAACACATAGAGTCACTGTACTTTTATAAAATGAGACACTTTTATGAATTATACATATAGCAGAGCATTCCAAATATCATATAATTTATTTATATATACAGCTTTACGATATTACTATTGCGCAGAAATCGACTTTTGGTAACTTGCCTTACTTATATTTCTGACTTAGTTATGTTACGTCCTTAGTCAGTCCTTTCTTTTTATTCAAACTTAAAAAAAAAAAAAAAATAAAGTCTTTAAATCAAGGGTACATAGTTTATTCAATAGTTTTAATAAAAAAATGTTACTTACATAACGCGTTATTTCTAAAGGAAGGTCTAATGTCAGAATCCATTTTTAAGAAATAAATTACTAAAAGAATATAACGCAATTGTTTAATAAGTTCATTTATAAGCAGTTTTTATTCGTTATGTGAATAATACGTAAGTGAATGTACTTCAAGTGAATGTAAGCAAGTCTAACACCCATATTAAGTAGGAACGCTATTGATATTTAAAAACTATATATGAAACAAATAAACTAACAAGTGTATCTAAAGCAAATTGGGAAATTAAACACTTCTTTTATTTTTAAATATAGTTTATTTATTTTTGAAGCATACAGATATTGTAAAAAATTTTAAATTGTAGATAAGACAATGAGACCTCAAAACAAGGGCTAAAAGTTTGCTCGGTGCTAGTGCATAAACAAAAGAAATACCTAGACATCTCATATTGGGAAAAGAAATAAAAATCTGCAACGTAGGTTCAATACTATAATTTATAGAGGAATTTGAACTTGAAACAATACTCTAAGTCAATATAATAAGGCACAATAGATCTCTAAGTCGCAGTGCAAATTCCCTAAACATAATATTAATGAAAATTAAAGCGTATAGAAATGATTTTACGTGAAAAACGATATATTATATATTGTGTGTGTGTGTTACTTGTCTACTTAATTTCATATATATATTTTATATATATATATATATATATATTTAAATATTGCTAAGAACTTATTTTCTTAGTCAGATCTTCAATTCAAAAAACATTTTGAGCTTCATTAAAGTTTCGAAATGACTTTAACCCCTAGAGTTTTATATGGCAATACCATGTAACAACAGAGCTGAATGAATTCGTAGGGACATCATTATAACCTAACATAACCTACACTCAAACGAAATGAATCAAAAACATTAACTTAATTTATGCACAACGTGTGCTAAGACAAGTGCTAATTATAATCATTAATATGAAAACTATTAAAGAAAACTTAATTAAAACATATACTAATTATACCTTCCGATCTGAATTAAGAAACAATTTCAATTTCAATATATATTATTATTATTATTAATAATTTTATAACTACATTGTATGATTTTTAATTTTATTTTTGTTTTTTTATTCATAACTCAATATTAAACCTATTAAGTTTTTGTTGCGTAAATATGTATACATATTCATGATTAATTGTTTACATCAGAGTTTGTTCCTTTAAAATATCTAAATAGACTTTGGGTGACTTTTAATAAATCTCAATTAGTTTATAATCTGTTAACAACCTATATTTGCATAAAATATAATAAAAATAGTTGCCATGTTTTGTGATCACTTAACATAATAGACAATATGAAGTGATATAATACATGATATATATAATATGCAAATTAATTTTTAATTATCTATACCATATATGTTACATGATGGCAATTATAAAAGAAATTAAAATTTTTCTAAACGTTATTTAAATTTTAAAATAACAAACTTTTTTGGAGACACTACGATTTCACCATTTTTGATCGTCTTTATAGCGTACTTCTCTAAAGTAAGTTTGCACTTTGTAACCAAGTTTTTTCAAATGAGCAAAGTATTATTCGAAAGCTCAAAAACAAATTCTAGTTTCCAACAATCTTTCAATTGTGATTAAAATTAATAACTAAATTCTAGATCAACTCTGCAGAAATCAAAACAAATTCAAGTCTTGTGATTATACAGATATAGATGATGTTATCTTCAAATCAATAATAATGAATGACATAATAATGTCGGAAAAATTGTTTCTGGTCATGTGAGTGTAAGATTATGATCGCAATTATATATTCACTGCTTCATTATCTTTGATTTGTTTTTCAAGCGTTTAGGAAGGTTTCGTAAAGTAGTGAACTTCAGAAACAAAAAATTTAATTATATTATTTTAATTAATTGAATTTTTGGCTGACCATACAGCTGTTTCGAGTATTACCAAATATCCATCGTGTATTTAATTATTCGTAAATAATTTTTTGACACTGCAAGTACCAAGGGTTGAAGGTTTTCATTTGCCAATTGACCCAAAGCCGTACTCAACTTCTATGTTCGCACTTTGGAGTTCCACCTCTACAAAAGAATAGTACTAAAGTTTAATTAAAAACTATAATATATATAATTAATTCAGTTATTCTACAGCTGGTTTTTCATTTCGTTTTAATAAAACACAGCAAGTGAATTTGTTAATAAGCTTTCACAGCAAATTAACAAAACTCCAAAGTGCGAACATACAAGTCAAGTACGGTCTTGGGTCAGTTGGTAAATCCACACTGACTCTAAGCTTCAAATTTGGCAATTAATAGTTGAACCCTTGATACTTGCAATCTCAAAAAATTATTTACGAATAATTAAATTTTTAAGCGTTTATAAATTTTTTCAATATAATTTAAATTAATATGAATATATATAATTTAAATACATAAATTAAT